ACTTTCGGAGCTCCTCTCCTGCACTGGTAGGAAACCATTACTTGTTCCTCAGGATAGGAAGAGGCGAATAAATGATGACCCAGCCAAAGAATAAAAGACTATACAGTCAACAAAAAGGGACAAGGTGAGAACGTGTGAGTCCTGACCTGGAACGATGCTGATGATAAGCTTTTAAGTGAGGAAAAGCAAGTTCCAGAATAACACATAGAGAATAATCCTGATTTTGGAAAAGCAGTATGTTTTAATAAATGTATAATATATTTATTACATATATTTACAAATATATAGTAGAATAAGGCACGTATGTGTTATACATGTATGTCTACTTAAATATACATGTATACATACATACATATGCAATCACACAGATATGTAAACACGCACACCTCTATATGTAGAAGAATCACTCAAAAGTGTTGACTGTGATAGTTTCTGGTGCAGGAAAGAAGGGTAGCAAGGACTTCTACGTTTTTAATTTATACCTTCTGTACTGTTTGAATTTATTTTGATGAGCATGTGTTATTTGTCGTGCAGAAAACACACATACGGAGATAAAAATAAGCTGCCTGACTCCCACTGAGAACAACGTCAGTTACACCAGGAGGGATGGGGTCCTGGGTCAAGTGCTTTAAGTGCATCATCTCATTTCATCCTCACCATCTCTAAGGGAGGTAGTCATTATCCCCATACAGTATAGAGGAGAACAGAAAGGCTCGGGGTCAAGGGTTCACCAGCACACAGCTGAGTATGCGGCAAACTCCAGTGAGAAACAGGATATGCATCTTCCACGATGCGGTCTGTCTGCACTTAGTAAATACCGGGCCACAGTTTCTGCACACTCACCTGCTTGTCAAACTCAGGCTTCAGAGAGTCTTCTGTGAAGATGTGAAACTGCATCTTCCTGTGGCTAAAGAGCACGGCCGATTTGAGCATGACCAGTGTCTCCTCCAGCCGATTGCCACAGGCCACCACAGCCAGGTGGATCCAGAGCTCAGGTGGCAGCACAGCTTGGAAACTCCTGGGTTCCCCGGGCCTCCTAGAAAGAAGAGGAACAGGCTAAAGCTATTTCTAAACTCATTATATATATATATTAAAAAACCCAGCTAGTGTATGGTTGGAACATTTCAAGACACGAACAGGCACAATCTGTTATATTTTATAAAGTGATAAGCATTTTGACAATTCTTCCTGCTTGGAGAAAAATACCATTTATTCCCATATTTATCCTGGCAATAGCAGGATGAGTCACTGTTTGGCCTACTATAGGTGTCTGAGGCTTTTTTCTGCCAGCATTCAGCTGTCTAGTGCCTGCTGGCTGCCTCCTGGCCCATGTTTGGAAATGGGATTGCTAAACTCTGACAGCTGACACAGGACTGTGGCGCTCCCACTCACACAGGCCATGGAAATTAGATTTGAATGCAACTTGAACAAGAGGAGGGTGGGCGGTGGCTTTCCCATGTGAAACAAGCAACACGATACTCCCATCATCTGGTTGGTTTTAGGTTGCAGTGGAATGCATGACCACTAGACCAAAGGAAAACCATGCAAACCCGGGAGGTGAGCAAAGAAAACAACCCATGGGCCTCAATTACATCCTGGGAGAGTCTTGAAGAAACAGGTGTTAATCCTAACAGTCTCACTCAAGACTGCTTAGCTGGCAGGTATGAAATTCAGCTTCCAGTATGAAATTCCTCTTAATGAGAAGCAGGCAGGAGAGGGGGCAGGTTAAGCTGAAAATTACCAAGGTATCAAATACCCAGTCAACAGCTGAGAGGGGAACAGGGTCCAAGAGTCCAGAATCATCGTCCAGCTATTTCCTCGTAATAAAAGATTTGTTCCAGACAAGGAGACACAGCCAAGCCTCAAACACACCACTGAGAAACATTTACAGGCAAGTTGGAAGAAGCTGGCCTGGAAAAGGTGCCCTGAGACAAATGAAACTAATTTACTTGCACAAAAGATCTGGAGACCAGGGGAACTTGGACGTGGAATGCTACCTTCCTTCCAAAAACTTCGAGTTCAATCAGCGTGCTGCTCCATTATTCACTGCTCTGTTGAAGAAAGGCAGTCTTGCTCCAGATTTCTTTCACCAAGAGAAAAGCTGAAGATGTGGGTGGAGCACTTTGGATAGCTTCCACTTTGATTACTTAAGAGCATGCTTAGTAGAAGCATGGCCTCTTGGCTTAGTTAGGCCCAGATGCAGAGTTACTCAGACAGTAGAGACGTCCTATGTATCTCCTGAAATTGTCCACTTCTTGTCACCCTGCTGCTGCTACCTGATGAGGCCACCATCTTCCCTCACCTGGATCACCGTGACAGCCCCTGGATGGTCCACCTGTCTCCAGTCTTGTCCTTAGCCCCCACCCTACGATTTCTTCTTGTTGCTGCCAGAGTGGTATTCTTCTTAAATGCAAAAAGGATCATGTTATTCCCTTGATAAAAATCATGTAAGGGCTTCCTATTTACAAGATCAAGTCCAAACTGCTGATTGTGGCTCTTACTTAGATCTCCTTTAACTGCCTCCCACACCCCCAGCCTGGCTGGACATTCGTTCATAATCATTGTCATAGTCACACCTACATTCATACTCACCATCTCATTTCTAGTCATGAGACCAGGCTGGGTTGTCTCCAGGTCTTGGCACATGTACTGTCTCTCTCTCAGAAATGCTCTTCTCTTCTCTCTTTTCCTTGCTAATTCCAGCCCATTTATTAGCCAACAACTCTATACTGAGGACCTACTATGTGCCAGGCACTGTTGCAGGTGCCAGGAAGACAGTAGTGAACAAAACAGACCAACATGCCTGCCCTTGGAGAAGTCACGTTTTACAGGTGGTGGGGGAAAGACAAGAAATAATTAACAGTCAAAGCATATAACTAGGAAACTTTACATAGAAAGTTATCCAGTGATAAGTGCTAGGAGGAAATACAGAGTTGAGCCAGGAAGGATCCTGGAGCGACTGATGGGCTGGAACATACTATACAGTGCAAAGTTAGGAAAGTCCTCACTAAGAAGGTGAGATCGGACGACAGTCTGAAAGTTGGGAGGGAATGAGTCACGTGCATTTTTGCGTGCAGAGGGTTCCATGCAGGAGAACAGTCAGAGCCAAGGCGCTAAATCAGGAGCATGCCTGGTGAAACTGAGGACCCCTGCCTTCAGGACTCAGATGCTTTCTCTCCCTCAGCTTCATGGCTGGGTTTTCATAACCCACTATTAAAGCCAATTAATTT